TGGCTGACCCATGCTCGTCTTAAAATGCTCAAGATCCTCTCAGAGCTGATTACTGATAAGAAAACTACGTAATATGGTCTTGAACACGCGCGCTCGCAAGTCATAGCAACAACAGTCTCGACGCCCGGCGTTGCAGTTTCCAGGCCGTGCTTCATCGGTCTGGCAGCTGTAACACTAAGCGATGGCCAATGAGCAAATCGTCAACGGGGCGTTTTTCCGTACATCTAGACCATGGGCCAAAGTTATATTAAAAGAATGTCAATGTCTGCAAAAAACACGACACCGTTAAAAAGGATGGCGCTCTCCCGCCTGTTGTGAAAGGAAGACGGAACGGCAAATATGTCTTTTTTTCTCCCGCTGGCGTTTTTGTTATTCTGACGTATTTCTTACCGACAGCTTGGTTGGTGCCTTGTGTACCGGAGCAAAGAACCTTGCACAGGTTTATGGGTTAGCAAGGCATTATACATCTAGGAAAGTAGTACAGCAATTTTAGATATATATCTTACTAAATATTTAACACATATTGCACAAGTTTAAATCTTGAACAAAAAATGTGTTCTAAAAATACAACCTCTCGAATTATATTACCATAAACCTCCCTTGAGACTTTGTTTTAAAGGAGCTCACAGTGAAATGCGGTGGTATAACCAAAAATCTGCGCGCAAAGTGTGAGAAAACCTGCAATTTGATATCCCCGCGAGCTGTGCACGAGTGAGATCACGCTTATTTAAAAAAGAGTGCGAATCAGGCGTTTGAAATGGGTGTGATCATTGGGGATGAGTGCCAGTGACTTATAATGATCTTGATGTGATGGGGAGTGTGCGTGCGAGGTTTACTGTTGAGCGAGAACATTGTTTTGGTATTCCTGACGTCTGCTGACTCCCAATAAAATGTAATATATCGACACCTGCCTCTACCTTTAAGTTTGTTATTGAACAGGACAAGGCAGTGACGCTCGTTAACTGAAATAAACACTAGCGGCTATGTTGCAAGGATGCGCAGGAGCAGTTTGTTACTTTATTATGATCTTGCATGCATGCGCGATACATGCGTGCATTACATAAATGCGTGAGATCCTTGGGAGTTGTGGTTGTGAACGATTCGAAGGTAGGCTCCGAATGTTCGCCTCATCGTATCTTTTGGCAGTGTTCAAAACGTCCTTTGCATTTCAGGTACAACCATGCAGTTACGACGATGTAGCTTGATGAACGACTCCTTGTCCACACTTCAGAATTACACTTCTTATATCATCATTATTATGCAGTCATTATGAATAGATGTAACACAGCCTTGCGTTAACATGACCATCGCCATCACTAAATTACAACCATCACACCATACGTAAGTGTGTCTTGGCGCAAGCAACTTGCCAAGCGAAGCATAAGCGCGTGTGTACCATTGACGCGATAATAAACTAATTGTTTCTGAGTAAACAAAAGCTACTTGACATGTTCAGAGCACAGTCAGTTCATTATCACGCAAGGATATCACTTATTCAAGACAAAACATATCCTTATGACATCTGACATATCCTTACTGACATGTGAATGTTAGGCAAAACTTCGCGTTCATGGTGCCAGCAGGACCTGCAGTACAGAGCACCAAAGATGAGACGTATGTGGTGATAATACCGACGCCTAGTGCACGAGCCCCTCACTAACCTTTACACTTTCTCACTGAAAAATCGTTACATCACAAGCGACGTCTTCAGTCACAGGCCCGTCGTGGGAGTCCAGCTGTCTCGATCAGCCCACCAATCGAGTGGGTTTTCCCCGTTTGGATAAAGGCCTAACAACTAGACCGCACTTTGCACTAGCCAGTTACCGTCGCGGGCTACTATGAGGGCCGTTTACGCCCCCGACACATGACGTCACGTCACGCTATGCCGCCGCAGCCTGGCGGTCATCCTAACAGCGCCGAGCGCGTCAACCCCGACCGATTCGCAAGACGAGGTCTCGGGCAGGTGGCGGCGCTTATGCACGGCGCTTATGCTCAGAGGCGGCCATCGGCGTGCGATGGCGACGATCTTGACGTAGGCGTGAGCATGTTGCAGCAGCTCCATTGCCGATCGCAGGCTTCGCACGTAGGCGTTGGACTCCCTGAGGCTGACCGGCGTAGGCGCTGGACTCCCTGGGGCTGACCGACGTAGGCAGCCTGCCCTGGGGCTGACCGACTTTACCTTAGAAACAATCCAATGCATATTTGGCGCATATGCTATGGATATCAAATGCGCTGGTTGGGATCTTACTTTGTTGAGAAATCCCACAAGGGACGTATCCATAAAAACAGTCGACTATCATATATGGAAGCATGTCCTTGACTTATCCTTTTTTACACGAAGTCATGCGAAAGGCCTTAGCTGTGACCCAGCGCTGTTGTAGAGCATGGCGCGGGGTGCCCATAACGTGCAACCGCAACCGAACCCTTATACCACAGCACATGTACGTTCATCGTATAATGTGGGCCCGGGCGCTCATATGCTAGAGATCCTGGCGCTGACTTAAGCTGTAGAATTACACGTCCCCACACACCTGCTTCTCGCACCATGCAGCGGAGATGCAGCCACAGGGATAAGTAGCCAGTATCACCCTTTGGTATTTCGCCTTGACCTTATCGACTAGCCTTTTGCCGGCGGCGATAGGCCGCTCGAAATTCCTGACGCCTAGTTTGCGCTGGCCATGGTATGTCGGAAAGTACGATTC